TGGTCTCGATCTCCTGCCCTCAGGTGACCCACCTTCCTTGGCCTCCCAAAGTGCAGGGATTACAGATGTTAGCCACCATGCCTGGCCAACAATAAAAATCGTTTTTATAAATGTAGATAATTTATTGTCTATATTTTAAAGATAACATTGTGCCATGGGCAGACTTTCTAGTGTAATAATCCAGCAAGAGATGATATGAGGACCTAAGGAGGAGGAAGAAAAGAGGGAATATTATAAAGTAAAATCCACTGGGTTTTCCGATTTTGTAGGTGGAGGGAGACTACACTGAAACAAGATTTCCACCTTTGGTGAATGAATGGGTGGTGATGTACAGCGATCAGTTGTAGACACTAGAAGATGTAGTATTAGTTGGATAATTAGAGACAGGAGAAATGTTTAGTTAAGATTGAGATACATTCAAGATGAAAAAGATTTTTTTTTATCGATACACTATAAAAACGGTAATAGAGTGTCTTCAAACAGTATTAGCACATCATAAGATGCTTAATATAGTATAAATCCTCTAGGAGGGAGAACATTCCATTTAAAATTATATCAAAAAAGAAATTCTTGGTCAGTCTTTGGCTGTGGAATAGGAAAAACCTTCACCCCATGGACTGATTCATGGAATAGAGAAGGCCTCAAGTCTTTCCCTTGCCCACTGCAACTGTCTTATGGTAAAATATTATCCAGGTATTTTATGTTTGTTTAGAGTCAAGTGATACAGAAAGGAACCTTTCTCCTAGAAATATTGATTCTATGGTTAAAAGCAAGACTCTTTTTTTCTGATTGTTTAATTTGGGGAAGGAGGTATGTTAAGAGAGGTGTGGGAGTGGCTCTGTAATGTAATATGAAACCACTGACCAACACAAAGTGGTGGCCCATTTTATGGAAAGACTCTGAAGTAATGAGAGATACTATTTCTATGCTGTATTTTAGTTGACTCTACAATTCACCTAGCTTTTGCTATTATTAATTTTACTTCATTAGAAAGGAGTAAGTGAATGTTGCCAGTTCCTTCTCAATTCCTTAGTCAAAGCAAAGGAATGAGAATTATTTCTGAACCTTATCGTAGATTCAGCAGTTTTCTCCATAGAGTTAAAGAGATTGGTTAAATACCCAGCCAGTTTTACCACCTACAAAAAAGGATGCGCTGGAATTTGAAGGAATAATTAAATGTGCATAGAATATAAGTTCTAGTGTACATCTGTGGACAGCTAAAAGGAAAGAACCTTGGGCTGTTTTTAGAACATAAAACAGTTACTAGTAAAATGCATTCGCCCCCTGGACTCTTTTGGTGTATTCTCTGTATTATTCTGGTTGGAGTTATATTGAGTGCCTTCTAGTACCTATGGCTAGTGGGGATTACATAGAACCAGGTCTGGAGCCCAAGGATAAGCATAAGTTGGAGATAAAATCTTGGGAGAAATCATCTATGAATGACAGTTAAAAACTTGACATAAGGCCCAGTGACCTATACAGTGTATATATTTGAGAAAGCACTGATTCAAGCATATGTATATGTGGCCATTGACAAAATCAGCATTTAAGAGGCAAAAAGGGGAAGTTCCCAGAAGGAAACCAAGTCATTTCTGGTTAACTATTCTATATCTGAGGGAAAAAAAGGAGAAAATGTAGAAGGAAGGTCAGCAGAGTCTAATGGGGCAGAGAGAGCTACTGTGGTAAGTCCTGAAGAGTCTCCATTGTTTGGTGCTGAATGGCTGGTCTGCTTTGGGAAAATGTCGGGAGCACTATCCGTGATTTATTCTGCGTCCATGCCAGAGGGTAGAATCAGGCTCAGGGTAGCAGTAGATATTATCTATAAGATAATCATCTTATAGAGATGTGAGAAGGAATTTCTTTTTCGGTTAAGAGGTTACCTATAAAGCTCCTTTACTCTAGAAATTCAAGATTCCACTATGCTAGTATCAGGGAAGCTCAACTTTGAATCATTGGCAGTAGGGCTTGAATAGCAGGATTATCCTCTTTACTCTGGGGTCTTTCATTTTCTAGAAATGGCAACACTGTAAAGTTGAATACACTAAATTTTCTGCAAGCCATTTTAGATGCCCATCAGAACTTGTACTCCTTAATGAGCACATACTCAGCCAAAGCAGCAACGTGCATATAACCTGTGCTTTGCTTTTTGACTTTTAAATCAAACTAAACATTAATATAAGAAGTTTTGATAATAATCCATGAACTGCATCTCTTTTAAAAGGTAGTGTAGTGCTCTTCCTGTAGTGTAACCATAGCAACTGACAAGGAACAGAGAAAGAAAGCTTTCACACATGCTGTGCTAATTAATCCTGTCCTACAGTTTGCTTTCAACTGAAGAACGCAGTTTAATAAATCTTGCATGAATAAGCATGTTTTGATGCATGAACTGTATAAATACAGCAATATCTTTACCAAAAATATTTGTTAAAAAATGTAGTTGTATGTATTTATACTTCAAGATCTCTTTCTTTCCTCTTTTTTTATTCTTTTCTTTCTTTCTTTGCTTCTTTTGGTCTTCCTTTAATTTTTATTTTTTGAGTCATCATTTTAAAAATTTTCTCCATTCCTGAAAAGTTTTAGGATTTTCTTATTAACCAAACAGATATTTTTGGGGTGAAAACTTTTTGTTCATCAATATAGAGGACACTTTCTACAAGAAACTGTTTTCATCGACTAACCATATTCAAATGAGATGAGAGAATTTTTCTCAAGCAATGTGGAATAATGTTTCTTAAAATATAGTAACATTCTTCACTCTGACACATTTACCTGCAAACCATTTTAAGAGACTTTGTCTTAAGCTTTGGATAGTTAGATATTGAAATTTATTTGTACTGTTCTTTGTGGAAGTTACGTGGCTCATCACAACAAAGTTGGAGTAGTTTTTGGCCTAAACATGAGGGAAAGAGAACAATCATGTAGGTAAAGCGCTTTTTTCTATTTGTACTTTTCAAAAATATTTAACCAGTTTAGCAAACTCATATTCAGAGTGAACAGAGTTGATCTGAAATTGCACATGATTCTTTTGATTTATAATACTTCCAGGTTGTTTTGAAGTCTTATTTTTTCCCTTTCTAACTGGGAACATCACAATTTTTTTATAACTAGCTTGGACTGAGCTGTCAATGAAAATCTTCAACTTCTTCATTCTCTCATCCTTCTGGCTTAGCTTTCTGACAACAGGGCCTCAGGAAAACCAGGGAGTCAATCCTAAATGTTGTTAGCATCCCGTTTGACTTGACAACAGCATATGGAACAAATCATACCCTATTTCAGGACTTGTGCCTGGCTGTTTAGTCTCCGTATGGAGCCATAGTCATTTGAGGAATCAACCCTTTTGATGGGATTACCAAATTCTGCAGACATTGTATCATCTTGATTGTCCCATCTATTGTTCAATTTTGCCTGAATTAAGGTAGGATGAAACCTTGCAGAGGAAACAAGGTAAAAAGGAAGAAGTTGTTATAGAAATCTGTTATCAAAAATAGTTTCTCCACTCATATACACACAAATTGGGGACCATGAATGTGTAAGTATGTCTCTGTGTGTATAATCTGTATACTTTAATGTGGAATACTTATAAATATTAACCAATTTATAGTATACCATTGCATTATTATTAAAACTGCCTTGTAGAAAAAAAATTGGGGTACTGTTACCATGGTTGAATTAATTAGAAATTCTTTGTCTTACCAGCTGTCTTATTAATTTTAAAATTTATATATAATACTGAAAATGGAATGCCATATTTATTAAATGAGGAAAAGTCATTTTGTTACTACTACATAAAAAATTTTAAATAGTGAGAACCTTAAAATGAATATGTTATGGTAGGTTCACTGTAAAAATATTTTATGTGCTATGTACATCATAACCACAAATTATACTTGTCTCTAATGAATACAGCTAGATAGAATGCTATCACATGGGTTTTTTTTCTTTTAAAAAATAACATCTATAGATTTGGTGGTTTTTAAATGATTGCACATTCATTGTACAAATCTTGGGAAAACTCTCTGAAAAACTTACTAAAAAAGAGGATAATCCCATATTCCAGAGGTAACCACTGAAGATATTTAAATGTATTTTCTGCCAAACTTTTTTTTAAAGGAGGCGGGGAACCCAGAACCAAATCTGCCAGTCTTTTTTCCGTGCATGAGTATTTATGGTTATGAGGTCAAATTTCATCTGCATTTTCACTTAACATCTTCCCAGTTTAAAAAAAACAGGAGGCTGAGGTAGGAGAATTGCCTGAACCCAGGAGGCGGAGGTTGCGGTGAGCCAAGATCGCGCCACTGCACTCCAGCCTGGGTAACAAGAGCGAAACTCCGTCTCAAAAAAAAAAAAAAAAAAAAGTTCTTAGAGGACATTTTAATTTATCATATATGAGTTCATCAATGTATGTACCAGATTTATTTGACTATTCCTTTGTAGTTATTTCTTTAGATGTTTTTTCAAAAGAACTTGTGCAATAAGCATTTCCTAATGATTATTTGACAGAACACTGAAACCACAAGAAATTGTAGGACAATTCTTGGAGGAAAGTATCATATTCTCCTCTTGCAGATTCACAGTACACATTAGAACAATTAGGAGAACTGAGAAGTTTAACTCTTTACCTATCTAAATCTATTTTTTTCTCTAAGTTATTTGACCAAGGAACTCTTTCTCACAATACTTGTAACTCTTCTGAAAAATTCAAGAGATTTCTAAGCTCCTGTGTTATCCCAGTTTATGAATTATTTGTTTACTATAAATAATCTGCTAATCTTTTATTAATGATATCAGTGCTTTTTTAGGAAATAGAAATGATTTAATGGTCATTAGCATGTGTTAAAAACAGAAATCACAATCCCCAACTCTCTATTAACTTTGACATTGGACTCCTGATTCTGTGTTAAAAGATCAGGTTTGACCTTGAAAATTGTGAGCATTGAAATTTAAATTCCCTTGTTTTGCTAATGCTTGTTAAACTTCTTTATGTTTCATGTAACCCACAGGTCTTGCAAGAGCAAAATCCGTCCCTAGCCACACATACTCCAACGAAGTGGTTACCTTGTGGTACAGACCTCCAGATGTCCTTCTAGGCTCAACAGAATATTCCACCTGCCTTGACATGTGGTGAGAAATGGAAGCTTTACTCTAGCTAATCTATCTCTAGTGCTTGGTCTGGGTCAAGCCTAGACAAACATCCTAACAGTTTGAATGAAGATTAATAGTGCAGGAGTGTTTGCCTGCATGTGGCCATACTGCTGAATGTTTTAAAACATGATTGGGAATATTCTCTAATTAGAGTCTCCTTTGCAGGTGGTGTGTGGTAATGGTTCTTGATGGACAGGGGCAGAGACATTTTTCTAACTGTCAGTATCATGATTTTTCTCCCTAAGGGTCTTAATTTGTGGCTGTATTTTATAACAAGGGAAGTATATATCTCCAAATGGCAACAGGATTGAAGTAGCAGGGAGCCTGTTTAAATTTGCAACAAAGCTCTGATGAGTGGTCTGATAATTTTGGTATAACTGTTAGGCAGCAATTTGACTCCACAGTATGTTCCTGAAAACTTCTGACACTAATTGCCCAAAATGAAATAAAATGACTACTTTTAAAAAATACTATGTGTTTAATTTTAGGTCTTAATTTCACACAATGCTTTAGCAAAGCTTAAAAATCTATTTTATGAGGTCCAATGACTGGCAAGATTTAATTCATAATTAGCATTAATGGCATATACGATGCTGAGTTTCCATTTAGGTGTGATCCAAATCAAAACAGTCAAATAATGGAATAATCTTATTTTTGGCGACAAGGACAAGCTTACTAGTGATTGTTGAACACGTCTTTTATTAATAGAAAAATTTCTTTTCTAGACTCACAGTTGTGTCCAAAGTAAAACAATTTACATAGCACATGGCTATTTTATAATAGGAGTAATCTTCCCTGAATGATTATGCCCCCATATGTAGAATTCCACTATGTGTTCATATAATTTTATGACCTCAGTAAAACTGCAGTATGTGTAGTTTATCTTATGTTGTACGCTTACTTCAGTGATCTACCCCCAGTAATCTTGGCTTTTCGTAAAGGGGCTATGATGAGGTCTGGCTTCTTTCCTGATGTTTTTGATCCAAAAATGTTATGGTGAGAAAACAATCAAGTATCTGACAATCTAGGGCACAGTGCAGTTGTTTTTTTTTTTTTTTTTTTTTTTTTTTTTATGTTCCAGCAACCCTCCCTAGGAATGGGATTTGGGGATTTATAAAGCCACTGAAGTTACCTGCAACATTTCATGTACATGAGAACACATTTATTTTTATTGAAGTGTAGATTTGCAGTTTTCAATGGAGCAATAAGAAGATCAGATAATCATACAGCTTAAGACCTGTTGTCATAAATTTTGTAATGTCTTATAATAAACCTAATACCATTTTAATGATATTCTAAAACACTGAGAATAAAGATGATCATCTGCCATTAAGGGGCTGAATTAATCTTTATTTTATCACACTTCCTGGCTTTTTGGGGGGAATGGTAGTTTACATAGTTAGATTTTTTTCCCCAAGACAGGGGTTTGGGTAAAATAGGTATTTATATAATTAGTTGTAATGGCAGAAAAAGTTGAAAATAAAGATCAATGAAATAAACAAAGATCAAAGAAAATAAACATCAGGATATTAGTTACTAACCCTTTCTCATCCTTTTCCTACTTCCTGACTTATTGTTGGCTATGCAAAGAGTCATAACTTCAGATTCTTGTGTTACAGGGCTTTTTCTTCATGTTTTGAATATGGAAATTCTAGGTTGTCTTTCAGTGAAGTCAGTTAAGGACTCTGCTAATAAAACATTGGTTGGAAACATCTGTGGCTTAGAGCCAGTTTTGTCTTAGTTGCTTGGCAGTTCAGTTAAGACTCTACCCTCAGAATGTTTTTTACAAACTAGTGGCTAACTTTTCCTTTAAAAGCACCAAGAACCAAATGGACTGTGACTTAATACGTGTGTTTCTGAGGTGTAGCTCAGTATTTGATTTCCACTGTGTGCCACTTTTTCTTCTGTGTGTGTTCATTCTCTCAAGGAAGACAGCTTGGACACTTTCTGCCAATTCACTTTGAACAGAGACATAATGGAAGCACAAGAAGAAGACTGTTATTTAAGTGGAAAGGAGGAAAACTGCTAGAAACTAGTAGACCCCAAATGCCCTTTTGTCTTCATGCCGAGATTATTCATTGCCAGAACCAAATAGCAAATGTGTTATGTCTGAACAGCTTCCCATGCTTACCACCTCTTCACTTCCAAACCCTAAAATCTATATTATATCTATGCCTTGCCTGCCTGTCTGAATCTGATTTCATTCCAAGTCGTTTTCTAAAAGCTATCTTGTTATTATCCTATAAGTCAAATAAAATGTATGTGTTTTTCCAGTTAGAGAGAAGTTCACAGGTACTGATTTTTGCCTAATCGATGACATTGATGCTGGTTATTCAGATAACTGGAAATGGGACTATAATTGAGTCATGGCTCAGCTGCAGCAAAGAGAAGTGCAAATATTAACCCGTGGACAATAGCAGGGAGGCAGGTGGCAGTAGTTTCAGGCATTTTTTACAGTTCATTTATCAGTGTGGGACAGTAAGGTAGTAACTAAAGACTAACGATCCCTATACAGTGTTACATTTTCCAGTTTTCTGTTTAAATAGCCACAGGCAATAAAAATATTAATGAAGACACGTATGCACTATCACTTGTCAGAAAATGATGGAAATCAAAGCTGGCCGTGTTACAATCTTCTCCTCCATGTCTCCAACACTGGCAATGAACAAACAACCCTGTGTGATTTGGGAACTCATCAAGATACATAGTTTTTGATACTTTTATATCCCTCTGTAAATTTGATTCCTCTGCTTAACAGAGGAATATAAAAGTATTATATTTTATATCTGTTAAGCAGAGGAAAAAAATTAAACATTTCCTCTGTATAACTTCTCTTAATTTTTGGATTTATAACTCTTTGAAAGTCAAGGCATGGGAAATAATTGCTAAGCTTCTAAACCAAAAAGGCTTACTAAGTTCTGAAAGCCAAATTAAGAGAAGTGCAAATGTAACAAGCAGCTTATCTGTGTAGTTCTTCCCTTGCTAGGCAGCTTTGCTCAAGCTGTTGAGGTCATAAATAAGCTTTGTATTCCTCTATAGAAGTTCATAAACATGTTTAGAGCTACATTTGTTTTTTGAAAGCAGAAAAGCAGAAGGTCACTTGGGATTATATATGGGCTTAATTTTTAAAATAAGATGACTAAGTCATCTGCAGCTAATAAATGATTATCTCATGAAGATCATAGTACTTTGTGGGGATAAAATATACAGTAGCATTACCCTGAGGTATCAGCTACAGTACTCCCCAATACCCCAACAGTATATGAAGAATGATAGCATGTCAGTCTCTTCCTTTCATCATTTTTTTAAAAAGCTGATTAACATATTAACTATGCTTGTCAAAATATGGGGCAAATCGTTTATAAATAAGCCTGTCAAATGTAATGAGATTGCATATTAAATCATCCGTTTCCCTATTACATCTCTGATTTAAGATTAAAATTAATTTACTTAGCATTGTAGCAGCTGGGTGGTTAGAAAAAAATGCCATACTATTCCTGATGTATAGAAAAATGTCTGCATCAAAATTGATTTTGTATATATTAGAAAAGAAATTGCCTGTTTATTAAGTATTATAAGGTCATTTGGCATTGCTTTTTTATTAAATAAGCCTAGTCACCATTACATATTGGCATTATACAAAGTTCTGCCATCATCTTTAATGATCTCTCTTGAACCAAGGAAATGTATGTCATAAAATAATGTTTTCTAGGACTTAGGTTTATTTACTAATGTTTTAAGGTAGAGAATCACAAATTAAACAAATTAACCCTACCATAGCCCATACTCTGAAAATAAATTTGTTTTATATGAGGGCCTGTGGTTTAATTTGAGACATGAGTAATAATAATGAAAATAATAGGTACTTTTATTGAACACAGACTGTATTCTGAGCTATGCTATGTGTTTTAATTACTTATCTGTTTTACCATGATACAGTAAAAGGAAACCAAACCCAGAGAGACTAAATAATATGGGTAAGGTCATGCAATTAGTAAATAGAATGCATGTTCAAACTCAAGGATAACCTACTCAAAGCCTTTTTTTTTTTTTTTTTTTTTTTACATTACACTATATAATCTCTTAAGAAGATTTATTAAAAAATTAGTCTTTATTTTACCACGGGAGCAACTCCAAAACACAAATACAGTAAAACATATATTTTATAGTTTAGCCTATACTCTGAGTTTTGTCATGTCCTTTGCATAGTTCAAATATAGTGGGTGTCTTTCACTCTCACGCAACAGTCTATGAACTGCTTTTCTCTCCTGACATCAATGTTGTAAGATATTTTACTATATACTTTTATGCAAGGAAGAGCTTTTTTTTTTTTAAGTAAACTAACAAGGGATTCATTGGATTTAATACATTTTCATGAGACCAATATCTATGCTGGCATATATTAATATTTTCCCAATTCTTAGCCATTACTTATTTATTACTCCTGCTAAAATGAACGAGTTCATTTTAAACCCTTCGGTAGTAAGAACAAGAATGTGAGTTCATGAGTTACGTTGAATCATGTATCTGTCAGATACATGATTAATTATTTCTAATTAATCAGATCATAAGACCAAGGAGCATATGAATTAGTTACTGTCAAAGGTAACACCTCTCTAAGAGTTCTTTCTTTTTTTTTTTTAATGAGACGGAGTTTCGCTCGTTACCCAGGCTGGAGTGCAATGGCGCCATCTCGGCTCACCGCAACCTCCGCCTCCTGGGCTCAGGCAATTCTCCTGCCTCAGCCTCCTAAGTAGCTGGGATTACAGGCACGCGCCACCACGCCCAGCTAGTTTTTTGTATTTTTAGTAGAGACGAGGTTTCATCATGTTGACCAGGGTGGTCCCGATCTCTCGACCTCGTGATCCACCCGCCTCAGCCTCCCAAAGTGCTGGGATTACAGGCTTGAGCCACCGTGCCCGGCAAGAGTTCTTGAGAACTGCTCAAGTAATGCATGATCCAAGTGACTTGTTGGTGTA